AAGAGGGGAAAGGGAACCTCAAGACCAAGAAGAGCCTGGAGTGGAATAGTTTGGACCTGGGGTTCCTGCAGGGGGAAACTCCTAAAAGAGTTGTAATACAGGTCAAGGGTTATAACACTGAAGACAGCAAGCGAGAGGCCCAGATGGGGCCTGGAAGGGGCCCACTGGCACAGACTTTGGCTGAGAGGCCCAGAAGCCCTAGCTGCAGAGAGCTGGCAGTGAGAGGTCCAGAAGGGGCCTGGCAGCAGAGCTGGAGGGCTGAGAGGGCCTGCATGGCTAAGCAGGTTGCACACTGGCTGTGAGGTGGGCCAGTTAGAAGCAGAGAGGCCTATGGCAGGGAGGACAATGGCAGAGAGGCCTGACGGCAAAGAGGCCAGACAGCAGAAAGCAGCTAACAGAGCTGAGCAGGCTGCTATACTGGCCACGAGCTGTGCCACTTAGCAGTGGAGAGGTCTGATGGCAGAGAGACCTGACAGCAGAAAACAACTGAGAGAGCTGCCCTCACTGGAAGCTATCCTACACTGAAGCAGGGAGGAATGTGCTTTCTACTTCAGGGGAATCTTCCAAAACTTGTCTATGTGCTTCCTGATCCTGATCCCCAGCTGTTCCTGTTACTTTCAAGTTCATCCTGATCCTGAGATGTAGCCCGTTACTACCCTAATAAATCACATAACTGTGACTATGATCTGTATGTAGTTCTGTTTGGCCACTGCAACTAATTATCAAACATAGCTGAGTAGTACCGAGTGTTGTGGGGGTAATGGCTGGTGTCAGAAATGGTGAAGAAGTTGGAGAGAAAAAGTACATCTGACTTCCACCTCATAGAAACCACCTTTTTGCTGATCCTGATTCTTATCCCTCATGAATTTAAGCAATTCTTCATGCCACATTACAGTACCTTACTCACATCTCATTACAATGCTATAAAACACTCTATTTACAAGTATGACTTCCCACAGGAGAGACCAGAAAAGGGCAAGGGGCCTACTCTGTCACCCTAGGACCCTGCAGCCAGCACCGAGCCTCACACAGAATAGATGTGCAGTGGATACTTACTGAGGAATGAAGGAAATTTTTGCCACTTAAGTTACTTGCACACAACCTCAGCTTGCAAATACCTTAGAGCAATTTTACAAAACCCTTTAAAGTCCAATAAAACAAAAGGGCCAGACAGTTATGGTTTAAGCAGTTTTGATACTTTAATGAAATAATTCTATTTCCCAAAGGTAGATAGTCTTCAAATTAGGCTGGTGACAGGTGAAATACCTAGGTCTTTAACCAAGAGCAAGTGCTCCAAACCTAGCACTGCAGGTGGAAGCAAGGTGCAGGGTCTCATCTTCTTCTGCAAAGAAAAAACAAGGCACAAGATTTGACCATAGTGGTTGGCCTATGGGCCTTGTACAAAAATGGCAGGTCCCAAGCCCTACATAGTACCACACTTGCCTACTCAACAGAAAGGCCAGACACCTTCTCCCTAGCTTCTGGCTGCCAGGTCCCGCAATAAAAGTCATCTCTTCTGAATCAAAGTTGCATTCTCACAGCAAGCTGCTGAAAGGTGGCTGGTCTGAGAGTGTGCCTGGCCCCAGGAGTGTTCAGGCAAGGAGGAATCTTGTGTGGGTTTGGTGATGAAGCAACTAAAGAATGGCCCACATATTCTGGGGGCCACTCATCTTACTCAGGGGCTGGACACTCACATGGACCACTTTAGGAACATGCCATAAACTATCCCCCATTCCAAGCCCATCTCACAAGAGAGGTGCCCGGGAGAATGTTGGGAGGAGGGGCTTTGGGGGATTCCTGCTAAGGCCAAGGCATCTTAGAAGAAAGCTCTGCCCCTAGAAAGGTGTTATTCTAACGAAGTTCTCAGCTGGCAAAGTGCCAGGAGTCATCTCTAGCAAAACTCAGCCACTGTGAATGTGGGTGACCTTAGAAACCATCCTAATTGCTCTCCCCAAAACAGCTTCCAGGAGGAATGTGAGGGGGCCACAGGTGAGTACAGACTAAGAAGCATTACTGTAATAATTATGTGCTTATTTTTTACAGTTACTGTCTATGACAAGGCATACTAATTTTCTATTTTAGAGAATGATAAAAAATTTCCATTAAAAAAGAAAATCCTAAATTTTTGAAAAAAGAAAGAGTAAGGACACATGACAACAAAATGCAACGAAGGATCCTGAAATAGATAAAGGGAATTAAGTGGAAAAGCTAGTTACATAAGTCTGAACAATGTCTTTACTTATCCAAACTACAGATTTCTGTTGCTGTTGTTAGTTGCCGTCGAGTTGTCTCTCACTCATAGCGACCCTATGTACAGCAGAACAAAACACTGTCCAGTCCTGTGCCAGCCTCAAGATACTTGCTATACAGATTTCTGTAGTTTTGTCAACAGTGATCTCATAGTTTTGATAATGGGACATGGTTATGTAAAACGTTTGCATTAGGGGAAGCGCGGTGCAGGGTATAGGGAAACTGTACTATTTTTGTAACTCTTCTGTTAAGTCTAAAAATATCTCAAAATTAAAAAGTAAAAAAATATTCAAACTTTTTTTAAAAAATGAGTTGAAATGTTAAAACATCTGAAATAAATAACAGCACAGGTGTTGTGCAGATCTGGTAACAATCATGGATCCTCCAAGAATCTCTGAAGTTTGAGAAGTGCAGGATCATGTCCCATAACTTCATTTTACAGATGAGGCCCCTAGAGATGAGGGGACTGGCTAGGGTTGTGAGAATGCCTGACATCTCTCCCCATTAATGTCCCTGCCCTGAGCCACCCAAGGGGCTAGAGTCTCCAGGAAGCTTTCTGGCCTCAGGCTAGTCTATTCAGAAAGTGATACTTGATCAGAAAACATCTTCCACAGCAGAAGGGAAAACACAACACCCTAACACACCAGGGTCACCCCAGATAGTCAGAAATGGATTAGTAGCTATCAAATTCCTACATCTAATCAAATCAAAGGCCTCCAATCATAAATTAAAATGAGGGGACAAGGCCTCTCTCTAAACATAATCTTTAAGGTGTCAGTACTCAGTCACACCTCCCTGTCTCTGCCTGGTCCAATACTGAAAATAAGATCAACCCCTGGGCCTTTTTCAGATCTTTTTCCCTTCCCTAGGTGATTCAGCTCAGAATGGGCCTCCCTTCCCAACCCAGGGGAGAGGAGCTTCTTGAGCAGTAAGACAAAGGCCCTCCCCCCAAAACCTCCCATCTTCCCCAGCCTGGGCACTGGCAACTCTGCAAGGGGTGCCTGCTTGCCAGGCAAAGCCCTGGGTGGGGGAAGGGAAGGAGGCCTACTCTAGGACTGAGGTGCTCTCAAGGACCCAATCAATGCAGGCTTACCCTTGGTCTGGTCCAGGCTTCCAAAGGGGCCAGACTGCTCAAGTGACCACCACTATCCTGTGCATCCCCAGGGAGCTGGCAAGGGTATCCCTGCTGACAAAGTACCTACCCCATTATGTCCTTGTTTCAGCACTGGGCCAGGACCCAGGCAGTGCTGAGAAATACAGGCAGTTCCTGCCACACTCTAGCCACCTGTTTCCCCACAGTGAACTAGAAGGACTAAAGGCACACCCTATTTTAAGGGCTACTGGCTAATCATGGAGACCCAGGATAAAAGCCAGTATGTAGGTGCATCTCTTCCCTGCAGGGCCAGGGCCTCAGTCCTACACAACTCCTTTTTCCCTCACCCTGCCCCTGAGATCTGAGACTACAGCCCCAGAGGATCTCAAGCCCTGGCCAGCCCTGCTGGGTTCTCCCTTGGCTCAAACATCCCACAGGCAAAGTCTGATGTAAGAGAACCTGTTGGAGCAGTTTGAGTACAGTGTCACCTCCTCTTCCTTCTCTTTCTCTTCCTTCTCCTCCATTTACTTCTAGGTGGGAAGGGGCCTAGGCTTTTGAAAAGTAGGCATAGGGCCCGGTCATTGTCACCAGAAAAGGCCAAGAGGGCTGGGCGTTCAGTCTCTCCAAGCTTTACCTGCCCCCCTCCCCTTCCTTATAGAAAAAAAGGCAATGTCAAAACCGGAATGTCCCTCTCCTGAACAGAGAAGAGTAATGGAGAAAAACGAAGACAGGGAGGAGGTGGCAAAGCCACAACACCATCACAAACACACACACACACAAATACACACACACATTATCTGTCACAGATACCCTGGCAGTGACAGCAAGCCGGTCCAGGAGCCACACTGGCGTGGAACGAAGGAAGCGGGGAAAGGTCCTGGCCGCCCGGACCGGGTCCAAGGAGCTCCTGGGCCTGGAGAAGGGTGGGCGCGCCCTCGCTCGGACCCCCGGCGCCCCAGACCGCCAGCGTCAGAGCCCGCCACTCGTGCCTCTCCAGGGACCGGTGCTGGGCTGCGCTCCCACTTCTCTCGGCCCTGGCGGGCCCGGAGCCCGCGCGGGGAAAGTTCCTGCAACTTCGCAGGGGAAGGAGACCGGGGGATGGGGGTGGGGTGCCGGGCCTGGGCCTCCTGTCGACGCCGCGCGCCCGGGCACCACGTCCTGCTATGTCCAGAGATACTCAGGCCGGCCTGACCCGTCTCCGCGACGCCCTCAACTTAGACTGGGGCGCCGTCCCTGTGCAGCGGCCCCAGCAGCGCGGCCTGGGCTGGCCTCTAGGCGCGGAGCGGCCCCCTGGCTCGCCCCCCACCTCCCCTGTCGGCCGGGCCTCGGCTTTTGTGCGCGGCCGGCAAGGGTCGCCTGCCGCCCGGAATGCCTGAGTGGAAAGCCCAGCACCTGGGCCCAGCGCCCCCGCCCTGGGCACAAAAGGGTGCGCGGCCCGGGGCAACGGCCTCATCAACCTCCGAAGACTCCCAAAATACGTCCTAGAAGCCCAGGGACCGGCAGATACTGCCATCGCTCGCATCTGCGGGCAGGGCCTGTGGGTCAGACGCAACGGCCCGGGGACTAGGGGCTGGTCCGCGCGAGTCGCGGCGGGCCGGGCCCGGCGGCGGACAATGCGGCGGGCTGCTGGAGCGGAGACGTCGGGCCGCGCGCTCACCTGCCGTGGAACCAGTCCTTGCAGGCGTCGCACTCGATCATGAAGCGGGTAACGTCGTAGGGGAGCCGGCAGATGCAGTACACAGGCACCGTCGCCATGTTAGCTGCGCCGCGC